CTCCTCCCTTCCCATCTTCCTTCCTTCCTTTTGCTTCCTTCCTTCCTTCCCCCCCTCCCTTCCCATCTTGCTTCCTTCATTTTGCTTCCTTCCATCCCTTCTTTCTTCCTGCCCTCTGCTTCCTTCTTTCCCTCTCTTCTCTTTCCCATCTTCTTTCCTGTTGCTTCCTTCCTTTTGCTTCCTTCCCTCCCTCTTCTCCTTCCTTCCTTCCCATCTTCCTTCCTGCCTGCCTGCCTTTGACTTCTTCCCTTCCTTTCCTTCTCCTTCCTTCCTCTCTTCTCCTTCCTTCCCAACTTCCTTCCTTCCTTCCTTCCGTTTCTTCCTCCCTTCCCTTCCTCCCCCAAATACCATCTTTTCCCCTTCCTTCCTTCCTTCCTTCCTTCCTTCCTTCCTTCCTTCCTTCCTTCCTTCCTTCCTTCCTTCCTTCCTTCCTTCTTTTTCTTTTCCTCTCTGCTCCCTTTTCCCCCTCTCTAAAGAATCTAAGAAGCTTCTGGGATGAGAAGCAAAACACTTTCGGAGAAGACGTTGAGAAGCCCCTCGGAGACCACCATGGCCCAGAGGGTGAAGACCTCCCCCACAGAAAAACCCCCCTCCCCTTTTGAGGGTTGGCCCAGGGGCCTTCACCTGGTTCTTCAGCTGGGCAATCTCCCGCTTGCTGGGCGCGTTGTTCTTCAGGTGGTCGAGCATCACCTGCGCATCGGCCAGGAGGGCCTTGGTGCGCTTGAGGTCCTTCCGCAGCCGCTTCTCCGCTTCGACGTCCCGCTGGCTGACCTGGAAGGAGGGAAGGAAGCAGAGAAGGGATGGGAGGCCTGGATCGGTCCCTGGAGGACCCCCCACCCACCCTGCAGGGTGTTGGAGAGCAACCGTCCCACTTGGGGGGCAGGAGTGGGATTCTACCGGTTCGGACCGGTTTGGGTGAACCGGTTGTTAAAAGTAACAGCTGGTTCGCTGAACTGGTATTTCGAATGACTGGCTGGCCCCACCCCTCCCAGAAGCCTCCACGTCGCCCATTTTCGATGCAGGTAAAGTGCAGGATCGGCACGAAGGCTCTGAGGGTGGGTGGGTGGGTGGGGGAAATGGGCCTTCCGGAAGTCTGTCCGTGGGCTTGTTTCCGGCTTCCAGAGGGGCCTCCGGAGCCCGGGGAGGCTGTTTTCACCCTCCCAGAGGCCCCCCCGGGGCAGGCTTCCGGACCATTGGGAGGGCGAAAACAGCCTCTCCCGGACTCTGGAGGCCCACCGGAAGCCGGTCCCGCCCACCCAGCCACCGGGCAGCGAAACGGTGGCTGGGATTTTTTTGAATCCCACCCCTGGGAGGGGAGGGGTCACGCGGGGAAGTAGCCTGGAATCGTTGCGTAAACACAAGTGAGCAGCCGCCCCCCCCCCAAAAATGAGCCGTATTTTTGCCTTCCCCACTTGGGGAGATTCCTGTAGAAGAGGCACAAGGCAATGAAGCGGCTCGTTCGGGCTGCCCAGGGGAGGCTCTCTCGCCGCTCGCGCGTGACGAGGGCTAACCTGATCGTTGACGGCCACCAGCTTGTTCTCCAGCTCTCTCTTCTCCCGCAGCACCTTCTGCCTCTCCTCATAGGCCTCCTCCAGCTGCAGCTCCATCTGCTTCAGCTGTGGGGCAGAGAGAAGGGGCTGGTCAGGACAGGCCACGCCTGCTTGGGGTGGGTGGGGGGTTAGGGTGTCTCCAGCTGCTGGAGCTCTTCCGGAGTCCCACCTGCCCAGCACCCACCTCTACCTCCAGGCACTCCCCTTTCTCAGGTAGGTCGCCACTTCAAAACGGTCACTAAGTGAGGACTGCCTGTACTTTGGAGAAGGCCAGGAAGGGAGAAAGGAAGGAAGGAGAGAAGGGAAGGAGGGATGGAAGGAGGAGGGGGA